TAACTTTTTGAGGAAACGCCATACTGCCTTCCACAGTGGTTGCACCATTTTACACTCCCACCAACAGTGAATAAGGGTTCTAGTTTCTCCATAACCTCGCCAGCATTTGTTGCTTGCTGTTCTGTTAAATTTTGCTATTCTGACTGGGGTGAGATGATATCTCATAGTTGTTTTAGTTTGCATCTCTCTTAAAGCTAGGGATTTTGACATTCAAGCAGATACATGCACACCCATGTTTATTGTGGCTTTGTTCACAATAGCAAGGAGTTGGAAACAACCTAAGTGCCCATCAAAAAACGAATGGATAGAGAAGCTGTGGTGTATTCACACGATGGAAACACTATGCTGCGTTGAAAAACAAGGAACTCATGCAATATTATTCAAAATGGGTGACTCTGGAGCACATTATTTTGAGTGAAGTATCTCAGTCACAAAAGAACAAATACTGCATGGTGCTACTGTTGTAAAACAGGACTGACATTGGGGTTGGGGAGAGACTGAGAAAGATGGGTTCAGTAATGCATACTGCATTGAAACAGATGAGGGAGAAAACTGTTTAAAAGGGATATGTGATTAGGTATTTTTGTCATGACAGGAGTCTAGAGTGAAGGCTACATGGTGGAGTGAACCTGGGAGAGGGTTTGTAAAACAATGAAAGAATTTGTCTTTTACTTTTCCAAGAGGGTAATATACTAGGGGGAGGGTTGGGAGGGGCGAAATGTGCAACAATGAATGAATGGAAATCCAAAGTCTCTGTAAATTTTTACTGAAATTAATAATAAGTTAAAAAACAAACAAAAAAAAAACCCGAAAACAACCCAACCAAAAAAACCTCAATGAGGTCCCAGAAATAGATGGAATACCAATTGACATATTTCAGTGAACAGGTGCTGCCCTGGATGTGCTCACCAGGTTATGCCAAGGAATCTGGAGGACAGCTACCTGGCCAATTTACTGGAGGAGATCTTTATTTATTCCCATTCCAAAATAAGGTGACGTGACAGAGTGTAGAAATTATCAAATAATATAACATCACATGCAAGCACTATCCTGCTGAAGATTATCCAGAAATGATTGGAACAGTACATCAGCAGAGAATTCCAGTTGTGCAGACTGGGTTTAGAAGAGGCTGTGGCACTAGGGGTATCATAGCCAACATTAGATGGATCTTGGCTGAAAGTATGACTGTGTTTCATTGACTATGCATTTGACTGTGTGGCTCACAACAAATTGTGGCTAACCTTGAGAACACTAAATTGTGCTTATGTGAAACCTATACTTGGACCAAGAAGCAGAAGTCAGAACAGAGCAGGGAAATACTGTATGGTTCAGGATCAGGAAAGGTGTGCATCTGGGATGCATTCTATCTCTGTATCTTTTTCAATCTATATCCAGAACAGATCATTCGGGAGGCTGGACTTGATGAGGAGGAATATGACATCAGAATTGGAGGAAGATTCATCAACAACCTACTTTATGCAGATGACACAATCTTGCTGATGAAACTGAAGAGGACATGGGACGTTTGCCCCAGAAGGTCAAGGACTGTAGTCTTCAGTGTGGACTGATGCTCAACATCAAGAAAACAAAGATTCTCACCACTGGACCAATTGGCAGCTTAATGATGAAGAAGAGATTGAGATTGTTGATAACTTAAGCTTGCTTGTTTCCACAATCAACACTCTTGGCACCAGCAGTTAGGAAATAAAAAACAAGTTACATTGGGAAAATCTGCTCTCAGGGACCTCTCCGAAGTGCTAAAGAGCAATGACATCAGTCTAGGGACTAAGGTGCACCTAATCCAAGCCCTGGTCTTCACAGTTACTTGCTTTACATCTGAGAGCTGGACAGTAACTAAGGATGATGGAAAGATCAATGCCTTTGAGTTGTGGTGCTGCAGAAGAGTGTTGAACATACCATGGACTGTCAGAAGAACAAACAGGTCTGTTCTGGAGAGGGTGAAACCAAGCTGCTCCTTGAAGGCAAGGATTTTAAACCTCCATTTCACATACTTTGGGCATGTTGCAAGGAATGACGAGTCCTTGGAGAGGGAGATCATGCTTGGAAGGGTGAAAGAACATTGCCGGATCAAAAGTCCCAGCATGAGATTGGTTTACTCAGTGACTGGTAAAATGTGATTAGGTCTGTCAGAGAGATGAGATTGGCTCAGGATAAGGCAGGGTTCAGAGCTAATATACATAAGGTTGCTATGAGTCGCAGGTGACTTGATGGGACATAACACAACAAGGATAAAAGAATTATTTAAGAAAGTAAAATTCTACAACTGAATTTCTAAGTCAGAAGTAAATATGTTTAAGTTGTTTTGTGGTGTTGTTTGGTTTTTTTTTTTAATAATAGGGCTAGAAGAAGAAAAAGGTTCTTTTTCTTTCCTAAAAGTCTTCTACTGATCATATCAGTACTGTTTTCTCTACCCTCTAAATTAGTTAAAATTCTTTCTGCAGGTTTCTTCTGTTTACTTTTGAGGCATGATTTGAATCACCCTTGAATTTTATCTTCTTTATTGTTGACCTTTTTTGGTAATAATTTCTACAGAATTTTTGTTTGTTCTTAAAAGTAGCTGTTGTCAGGTGCACTTGAGTTGACTTGGACTCATAGCGACCTTCTGTACAGTAGATTGAAACATTGCCCAGTCCTGCACTAGCATAATCTGTGGTGTTCTTCAGCTCATCGTTGTAAACTCTCAGTAAGAGTTTCTTTCTCTGAGCCTTTACCTGTCTAAGCGTGATGCCTCCCTTCTAAAGTCGGGCTCCTCCTGATAACATGCCCGAAGTATGTGCTATGAAGTCTTGTTCTCCTTGCCTCCAACTGCACTTCTAAAACAGATTGGTTTGCTCTTTTGCCAGTCTGTGGTATATTCCGTGCACCTTGCCAGTACCACAATTCAAAACTATTGAGTCTCATTTCATCATGTTTATTCATTGTCCAACTTTTATAAACATGTAAAACATTTACAGAATATCATGGCTTAATATCTTTGCTCTTTAGGACTTTTAAAGAGCTTTTTAACAGCTGATTTTCTCAATGAAATAAATTGATTTCCTTCCCAATTTCTGCTTATGTGTTGGTTGTGGATGCAAGGAAAATGAAGCCATTGACAGTTTCAGACTTTTCTCCATTATCATGATGTTGTCTGTTGGTCTTGTTAAAATAATTTTTCTTTTTTTTATATTTTTCTTCCCCTTTTTATTTTTTCTTACTCATTTTATTATGATTTGTGTGACAGTTTGCACTATTTTAATCTAGTCATTTATATACATTTTATTTTCTAACATAAATTACAGTGAATATTTTAATTACTATGTCCATTCAGTCCCTAATTATAGGCTGCCTTTCTTTTCACCTAAATTACTAAGTGTCTGTTATGTGTTGGTTAATTTTACTGCTTTCTCACTCCTTTCTTATCCCTGGTAACCACTGTTTTTCAAATGTTAAAGTATAATCTGTTCTGAAAATGGTAGTCTTTGATCTTCTTTAGTGAGTCCTTCAAGTCCTCTTTCCTTTCAGCAGCAAATTAAAGTTCTTCATTGCATTAAAGTAGACTCTACTTGGAGTTGTTATGTACCATTGAGTTGGAACTGACCTGCAGCTGAGCCCCCAGTGGCTTTTCAAAGGTTGTCTATTGCATGAGAGGAGATTGTTTATCTTTCTCCAGCAGAGCAACTGGTGGATCTGAACTTTTGGATTGGCAGTGCAGGAATTGTGCTGCTGCTGTGACGGTATGTAGTTGGAGTCCATGGGAGAAAGATGGGCAATCTCCTCTCAGGCAGTTTACTGCCTCTGAAACCTGCTGGAGGGTCAGCTATGAATTGGTTCTGACTTGATGGTACATAACAGCAACAACTGCTTTGAGGAGCCGCCTCCTCCCAACTTCTGTTTTAACTGCCTTCCAACCTGAAGGGTCATTTTCTGACACTATTGTTTGTTATTACTCTGCTGCTATTCATAGAGTTTTCAAGAGCTTGTTATTTCAGACATGGATGACCAGTCCTGCTTTTTAGCCTGTTTTAGTGTGGGAGCTCCAATGAAAACTTTCCAAAACAGTGGGTGACCCTGCTGGTATTTGAAGGTTTGCCACTAGGCGGCATAACTTCCAGCTTCACAGCACCATGAAGCCAGCAGCGAATGACATACTGATAGATGAGGGGTAGTTTATCTCCTTGATAATAACAGATTCTCAGTACTCATATTTGTTCTAGATATACTCCTCCTACATTTTTAGAGTATTCTATCAAAAGAGGTGATTAAAGAATTGTGTAGGCTACAGTGTTTCTTTGGATGCTTTTAAAGTGCTCTAGTCATTTAGCTTTTTTGTAGGGAAAGTTAAAGAGGAAACTGAGTCTTGCTGTTTGTCCTTTTGAGGTACACTTCTTCAGCACACTTACACGGATAGTCCCAGCTGTAACCATCTAGAATATTTTAGCAATTTTCATTGTAGCATGTTTCAGCTGACTCCCTTCTTCCAGTGTTTAAAAACATTGTTTTCATAGTAACATATTTTTTTAGGCTATACTGGAATCTTTTGACCAGATACTTTGGGAATGCTTCTCTTGGTTTTTTTTTTGTTTTGTTTTGATTTAGTTTTCCCCTAAAGATTAAGCAATAGACAAAAATTTCATGTTCATGACTTGTTATTTCAATATTTTATCTTATGTAATTGTTTCTGTGCATTTTGTTTTAAAATGTAACACATCATGAATTAAAATTTTCTGAGTTTTTAAAAATTTGTATTTGTTAAAATATTTAAGTATTACTTGCATATGAGATTTTCAAATGACCGTTAATTTCAAAATTTAGTTTAGGTGCAATTTAGTTTAGGGAGGAGAGCCTGACCCTGTTGCCTTTAGACGACCTCCAAGCCACATTTTACCTGTGCTGCATCCAGATATCATGCTATAAAGATGCTTGCAAATTTTGTATAGTTATATATTTATTTCCTTGTATATATTTTATAATTGTGTCTATATTTTATTTATTTAAAGATCTGGACGTTGGTAGTTGGCTATGTGTTGACTGTTACATTCAAGTGGAATGCAAGTACTGAACGCTACTTGAGAGCAGTTTCAATTCCGGTCTGGATTATATTGCTTTTTCACTTAGGTGGGTCACTTTTATAAAAGTCTAGCTTAATGTTGGCAGAGGCTTACCTTGTGAATGAAAGTTAATTTTTATTCCTTAGTGCTTTATGTTATATTTAGTTTCTGTTAAATAATTTAGAAAATATTTAGCTTTAATTGTTAATGAAACTGTACTTTAACATGTATATCTTTTAGTTATATTAAATGTTAGTTTTCAGTGACATTTTATTGTCTTTAAAAGCAACAGTATCTTGAAAAGTAGAACAGTTTTTTGTGAGCATTGTCTGAAAAATTTAATATTTCAGAGTGTCATACTTAAGGAGGCTATAGATAAGCAGTTGAGGATGACAAGAGATGCTCACTCACATTCATGTTTGAGAAGTGATTAAAGGAAGTGGAGAAGGTGTTTACTCTGGATAAGAGAAGAATGTTAGGTTCTCAGGAAATGATGGTAGAGGTGAGGAAGCTATAAACAAAAACCTATTTCTAATATGCGAGTGAATGTGCTTTGAAAAAGTGTTTTATGTAGATCTGTGTAAGCATGAAGGATAGATGTTTAGAGCAGTGAGTAGCTTCTAGGCAGCAAATCTCTGCCCAACATTGATGGCAGCCCTGTTCAGAGTAATGAGTGTTCTTTATTCATGATGCCTACTTTCAAGTGGGATATAGTTATTTTCAGCATGATGCATGTATTTAGGATTCTTTTATCTTCAGGTCTGGGTTTATGAAACATTAAGTTTTAATTGAATAACAAAATCCAGTAGCCAAGAACTGTGAATAGCCTACTCACAAAGTCCTTTTTAGGCTGCTTACGGCTTGAAATTTTAAAAAATCCAACAGGATTGATTGAGAAAATGTCAGTACTTAAGAGTCTAATCGAGAATAGAGCATTCCTTCCCAACTTTGCTGACTTGAAATACTACAGTAGGTGAACAGTAAACGATCCCCTAATGCCTGATGTAACCATACTGAATTAGAGCAAGAGAGGGAATGCAAACATAAATGCTCCAGAGGCTCAGGGCAAACTTGGAGAAAGTCAAATGGGTGAGGACCTATTTCCAGGCTACTTGTTGACATTTTCATATGATAAAATTTACAATGGTACAATAAAGCTTTTGCTTTGCCCTTTGAGATAGTTCTGCCCTTACTTGAGAGATTGAACTCTCACCCAATGATATTTTCAGGAAATCAAGTCAGACTCCTTAATACTTCTTGTTATGATGGAGTCAAATGGGTGGTTTTAGTTTGAGATGGTGTTAAACCCTGCATGTACTTTAGAATGAACTTGATTCCTCAGATGGCACACCCCTTAAATGGTCTGCTAAGACATACACGGTTCTTTGGAGCTCACGTACTGTAAGAGAAGGGCCGAACTTCATAATTAGAAGCCCTGACTCTAAGCTCAGTGTCTGAAGACCTTATTCCTTTTATATGAAACATATTTATTGTTAACATTTACACCAAGTTTTATTAATCTACTAAACTGAAAAATGTCAACTTTTAATAATTTGCAGCATCCCTGGCTGGCTCATGGAGAATCCCAGTATTCCTGGTTATTGTTTTCCTGATGTCAGTGGGCACCCTCTATGAAAAACAAAATGGAAAAGAGTCGGCTGGTAAGAAATAGGGCATTTTATTACTATTACATTTAAAAAAAAAATTTGGAGAGTAGCTGTATAAACAATACAAGAATGTTGTAATGAAGTAGCTTAAATTTATTTAAAAATATTTGTTTAAAATAATTTAGACTAGAGATATACTATTTTTAAAATAATTATTATTTTTCTTTTAATCGTGACCTATATGAGTTTACAGAACAAACTGATTTTTCGATCATGACCATTTTAGGTTATGATATTACTTATAATACCCACAGTTGTGATTCTTGTTTCCTCTCTTGTGATTCTCATTTCCATTAGGCTTCATTCTTATTCCTACTCCCTGAGCTTTATCCCTGGACAAATGCTGCCCTTTGATCTTTTATGTGGCTGTGAGGCTTTTTTACCCAAGGGCTGGGTACCTCCCTGATGTTATTATTCCCTATAGAACTGTTTGTCCTTGGGTCTTAGGAACCTACCTATTGTTGGAATGAAAGTTGAACAATAGGGGTGACTTTTTTCTGGATAAGGTGACTAAGGACTATAGTCTCAGAGCTTTCATTAGTATTAATCAGACTAGTAAGTCTGGCCGTTTTTTTTTATGTTTTGGAATTTTTCCTCACTTTTTTGACCCCCTCTCTCCAGGACCTTGTGCTGTGATTCCTTTGAGAATGGTAAGCAGCGGTAACTGGACACCATCTGGCTCTTTTGGGCTCAGAGAAATGGAGGTTGATGTTTGGATAATCCTATAGTCATTGAAACGAATTGTTTCTATGCAACTATATTTTTCTTCTCTAATCTTTACTTCTGATAGGGGGAAACTAATGCATGTACATTTGATAGGTGCTCCTAATTGTTTTTGTATTTTTCAATTGTAAAATTATCATTAAAAGTAACCATTCGTTATTGTAATCTCTACAATCCAGTGGAATATAATACATTGACAGTGTTGTGTCATCAGCTCTACCAAGTTCTAAAACATTTTCATCACCTGAGAAGGAAATCTTCTGTTTCTTAAAACAGTCACTCCTTACCCTCTTCTTCCTCCAGTTCCTAGCAAACACTACTTGGCTTTCTGTTTTTCTAGATTTACCTGTTCTGAAAGTTTCATATAAATAGAATCACACAATATTTTACCTTTTGTGTCTGACATCTTTAACCTAATATGAGGTTTTCAAGGTTCAGCCATGTAGTAGCGTGGATCAGTATATTTTTTTTCTTGTTTGTGGCTAAACAATATGGTATTGTATGGCTCTACCACATTTTGTTTATCTGTTTATACTTTAATGGACTTTTGAGCTGTTTCTACCTTTGACTCTTATAATTATAGTCATATGTCACTTAATGCATGATAAGTTCTGTGAAATGGAACATTATATGATTTGAATACTGTGCAAACATCATAGGGTAGTCTGATCTTGATTTTTCTTTGAGTATCTCAAACAGGTGTCATGCATTAGCAGTGATACTCAACCTGTTGATAAAGTTTTGCTTGTGTGTTTGGTCCTCAATCCATGTTGTTAACAATTTCTCCCTGTCTGATGTGGGTCCTTCTCCCATTTTCAGTAAGTAGCCTTACAGTTTTCAGTGGAGGCATCATCTAACAAATTTGGGAATTTCTCCTTTGTTTTTGAGGATTATGCTAATTATCCAATTTGACATGCTACATTTCCAGCAATAGCATTCATTGATTTTCTACCTTTGTGCTCATAACTTTTGCTTTACTTCCTAATCAATACTTCTTTAACTCTTGTTGGTGCTATCCCTAATACTAGTTATACTGTATTTGGGAGACATGATACAGCTCCTGGTATTATTATCAAAAAGAAAATTAAGCAGAGAGATAATGAATACTGAAGAGGGACGTGGCATATGAGTTTAGATGCTGCTGCCTATGAGTGAAAGCATATACTATTAAATGGTAAATGTTTTAGATAGAAAGTATAGTGCAGTACATACATAAGCTAATTACATAGGTGTTTGCTGAGTGCTGGAGAATGAATGAAGATGACAGAAGAATTGATGCCTTTGAGTTGTGGTGCTGGAGAGCAATACTGAATATTCCATGGACTGTCAAAAGAGCAAACAGGTATATCTTTGGGAGAGTACAGCCAGCATGCTTCTTGGAGGCAAAGATAGCCAACCTTCATCTCTCTCATACTTTAGATATGTTACTAGGAGAGGCTATTCTACGCAAAGGGTTATCATACTTGAAACAGTGGAAGGTCAACAAAAGAAAGGAAAATCCCCAACAGGATGGATTGACATGGTGACTACAGCGGTGGGCTCAAATGTATTAGATGATGAAGATGGCACAGAATAGGACAAGGTTCAGATCTCTTGTTCATAGAGTTGCTGTGAGTCGTATTTGACTATAAGGTACCCAACAACAGTATTATAGGTTATATATGTACTGTACCATGATACACCTGACAGGGCAGTAACTTCGTATATAGAGACTTGAGATATATGTGTTTTGTGGAGGAGTCTGTTGTGTTTTCTAAAACATGCCATTCTTTGGGATTTCTGAACTCTCTTATAACCCTATGGGACCACAGATGTATCTATGGTCAGGTGTTCATAATACCCGAACAGACATTATGGGGTGCATGACTCCTATAAAAAGTAGTGTGAAAATATTTGAGTACTTAATTTTGATTCTGTTAAATATGTAATTTAAGAGTAGATTTGTTGAGTGACATAGTCATTATTGATAGGACTTTTAAAAACAAAAATACATTTTTAAAATTGGGTGAAAGTTTACAAATCATTGACTTTTCCTTCAATCCTTCATAGACATTTTCTTTTATACGTTTGATTACAATTGATTAATGTTATTAATTACATAGTTTAATCAGACCTCAGTTTATCTCTATATTATTTTTTTTCTCCTTTCTCCATCTCTTTTAATAATTCAAGACAGCATCTATCTGCGTGTCAACCTCTTTAGCTTTTTAAACTGGTGATTTTATACAGAATTATACTTTTGTGACTGACTTACATCAGCGTAATTCCAACAAACTTCCTCTGTGCTGGGTTTTATTGTTTGTTTTGTGGTGTGTTTTTGTTGTTGGTTTTTTTTTTCTTCTCTCTTCCTGTTCTAGAATTCCAGTCACATGTCCCAAATGATTCTTAAATTTTCTTTTCTTCTTTTGCTAATTGTTCCTCTAGCATATTGGCATTGAAGGGTTTGTCCTGCATCTCACTAGGTCTCTTTACCATTGTTTCTCTTCTGCTCTTTTGTCCTTCCAATGGATTTATCCATTTCTGAAATTTTAGTCTTAATGTACTGAATTTCAATTTGCTCTTTTTGTATTGCTTCTGATTTTCCACTTATTTTTATCTATTTGTTCTTGTTTGTTTTTTTAAAATATTCTAGAGATTTCTATGTTTTCTTGAATTTATCTACAATTTCCTGAAACTTTTTCTCAGTTCAAAGAAGACACTTAACTATCATTCATTCTAATTCTTTATCAAGAAGTCCCTTTTTTCTTTTTTGGAAAGATTTTCTGAGTCTGTGTTTTGATCACTTATTCCATCTTGGTTTTGTGATTTTATTTATTTAATGACATAAAGTTACTAGTTCTCTCAGACATTGTAGTGGGTTGTGTTTTTTTTGACATACAGGACTAAAACACTAGTTTGGTAATTCTTAATGTTTTACCTCTTGTCTTCTGGTTGGTGTGACCAAGGATGGCAGTGTGAATGCCATTCTCTGTTCATTGTTTATGTAGATCAGTTGAGGGCACCCTGGGCTGGTGTTAGTTGTAAATTTTTGTTTAGGTGAAGCAAGAGCCAATCTGTATTCTTGCCCCATTGGATGAGGAAATAGCTCTGTGGTCAGATGGGACAAAAAAAAAAAAAGGAAAACAAAGCAAAAGAAAACACACCCAAGACAAAGAAAATAGAAAAATCAAACATGAGTTGGTACCAGTAAGTTACTAAAAAAGTAAGGAATATTCGGTACTTCATGTCAAGTTTTCATTTAGGTGTCAGATCACTTGAACTAATGCACTTGAAGCCATTTCTTAAAGACATTGACCTACCTTTCAGTACCCATTTGTGAGGCATGGAATAATGTCTGCACGTCATCTGGGTGGTTTGGGCCATAACTGAGCACAGAGACGAGCTTGTGTTGATAGAGCACGCACCACTCACCATCAGATTGGCTGACTCATGATGACTCCGTGTGTGACAGAGCAGAATTGTTCTCCATGACTGATTTTTTTGGAAGTAGATCTAAGATGCCTCTGGATGGAATTGAGATCCCACGCACATTAACCGTTTGGACTACTGAGGGGCTTTTAATAGTGTGTGGCTTTACCAACTCCTACTTTCCCTGTTGTTACTCATGTTAAAATGCACCTATACTGTCCATCTAGTCTATGTGGAACAACCCTCACTGTTATTTATGATGCAGTCCCTTACATAGATGTCATTGTGGCATGGTTAGATACCAACATGAAGCTAGGCTGCTGTCAAACCCATTTCCACTTAGTCATGTTAGATTCATGGGTACCCTTCATCGATTTTCAGAGGCTGTAAATCTTTACTGGAGGGGACTGCCTGTCTTTGTCTCACAGAAAAGCTGGTAAAATTAAACTGCAGACCTTTTGGTTAGCAGCACAAAACATAATACACCTTGCCACCATAACTCTTTATTACAGTCAGGTATAGAAATGTTTATAGGAACAGTTAAGTGTACAGTGATCCTTTCTGCAGGGATGTTTGGTGGCATAATCTGTACTGAGCTGTGCTGTTAATCCAGAAGTGATGTTTTTCTGGAAGTTCAAAGCCACCAGTGCTACTCTACGGGAGAAAGATGGACAGTCTTCTCTCATGGCAATTTACAGCTTCTGAAAACCCTTGGAGGATCAGCTGTGAGTTGGTTCTGACTTGACAGCAATGAATTGAGTAATGTCATTTTTACATTTATTGTTGACTTAGTGCGTGTATTCTAGTTTGTCTGTGGAAGTTCTTCCTCTGGATCTTTTGAGCTTTGGATATTTATCTTGCTG